CCTATGAGGTCGAGTGATAGAGAGGAGACCCAAACGGCACAAAATATGCAGGGTGTGAGCATGTAATAGTTGCATGAAGTAGAATTTTTTTTTTTGTATTTGATGTCTCTTTACTAATAAATTCTAATGTTGTTTGCTTTTTAACCTATAGAGGCATTCAATTGTAAACATTTCATTTTTTTACATTTGCAGTATTGTAGACTTGTAGACTAAAATTTTAAAGAGTGCCACAGGAATGCAAAGGTGATTTTACACTGTGGGTGAGATGGGTTGATGAGTCCATGTAATTTTTTAAGGAAAAACACCATGCTGATACCAGCAATAGAGTTACCCTTCTGTGAAGTGTTTTTGGCTCTTTTTATTGTTTTTCTGTGGTTAGCTATCCATTCATTTAATACAGGATTTTTCACCAGTTATGCTGTTTAGCAAGCATGGCTTTGTAATTCTCCACTGGGAGATCATGGGTTAAAAGAAACAATTGTCTAATGTTGAGTAAAATATTAAGTGAGTGATTGCTGAAAGTTGTCCAAACTTACGAAAATGCTAATGAAAATGCAAACCTCAATCGGGAGGTTGTCACATAAAAAGTCTGCCTCTGGAGTCACACCTGATGACACCTGATGACAGACTTCAGTGACGTGATGTAATTCTACTGCAAGTACTAATGTGTGGATTTGCTACTAAACTGAAGAATAACTTGTTTTATATACAGCGTCCTGACTCGCACCACAAAATTGATTCTGGAATTGAGACTTAGACATATTTGTCAGAGGGATGGAATGTATCTTTGCTGAGTTTGTGTGGATGACAGCAGAGAGGGGAACAGTTAGTATGCAGGAGGGCAGGGATGCGATAAGGCATATGCTCAGCAAGCTGAAAGAATGGGCCATATGAAACTCAGCAGACAAATGTGAAGTCCTTCACCGCTCAGGACTGGCAAACATAGGCATCACTGCAAGCTGGCGGAGGGCTGGCAAGAGCACTTCTGCACAAAAGAGTCTGAAGTTCTGGTGATCAGCAAGTTAAAGATGGATCAGCTGTGTGCCTCAGTGTTAGCTGTCTTTGTAAAGGGCTGTAAACCCAGTCTGAGAGATACCAGCAAAGAAGTTCCAGCAGAGTGCTGCCAAGCTGGTGGAGGCTGTAGTACTTGGCATGTGAGGAGAGGTGTGCAGTGAAAGCATGAGGTAACTGGTGTGAGCTACTAAACATGAAATGCCAACTGAGAGTAAGGAAGGCGTTCAGAGAATTTCTTGCCGAGCTTGGTTGGCCCTGAGAAACATACTGGCAAGATGATCCTGCTCTGAAATCCCTCACAGAGCCAGAAGTCGCTCCCAATCTGATTACCTCCATGACAATGGCAATGCAACAAATTTTACAGTTTAATTGATGCATAATTCTGGTGTGGTTTTATCTGTGGTGTGTCTTTAATGCACACCTTTTCACGTTTTTGGTGTAATAATTGTGATAGTTGTATTTGCAAATAGAGACTTGGTGTACAAACCCGTATTTTAAATTGAGAAAATTAAAGTTCATCAAATGTTTCAGCTGCCTTTTGCTGTGCTATGTAGTTTCATATGCAAAATTGCTTAAACTTTAAATTGTTAAATAAAATATGATGCTCATAGTCAATATGGAGTAGAATTAATAACAGTTTATATCTAAATCAGACTATGAACTGTAGAACTGTGGTGACCTGCCACGGTGTTAACATCAGTTACTTTTACATTCAAGGACTGAAAATTTCCGAGGGTCATAGCATTGATAAGAGATCTATGAGCTAACCAAGACAAAAGCAGGCTACACCAATCTTTTCAGACTGCTGGAATGCTGAATTAACAGTTGACTTCATACAGTCATGCAAAATATTTTCATATTTATGGTTTAGTTTCTTTCAATCGCTGTTCATTATTATTCAAAGCTGAGAGCCTTCTTGAGAGCTTTAAGGACAGGAAAATTGTATTCATTTGTTAAACTGTGAATAAAAGCAAGATGTCAAATATGTATTAGTTCCGCAATTTTGAAGTACGCAAGGGAAAAGAAAAATCTTCCCGACTCTCTTGAGGATAATGTTTTGCATGTTTAATTAATTGCTTAAATAAAAAAGATGCTTTCTTTGACTTTATTTACAAAACATGTAGGTCACTTTATTTTTATTTAACAATCAGTTCCCATTTGAAAGCAATTTAGAAAAAGAGTAAAAGATTAATTACTTATTAGATGTGATACAGCATTTGGGAGTTTGCAGGAAAATAAACAGTCAAAAATTTAAATAACGAATTAAATTTTGTAAATCTTCCACATAATATCATAGTTGATTTAAAAGGCTTAATGCAAAGGCTTTATTTAGTGAAACCTCATCATGTCTTAGTATGTAAACAATTGAAAAAGATACCTTTCTTTATAAAACAGAAGGTACCAATGCAAAATCCATAACTAACATTAGTATTTTATGGGGGGATTTTGTGCTTGTTGAATTCAGTGACTGCAGCATACAATGAAAGTCTAATGCTGCTCACTGGTCTTCTCACAAACATTTCTAGGTGGATATTTTATGAAAAAATATTTTTTTATTAGTTTTTTTTTGTTCACTTCTGAATTTTTGTCTACTGGGAAGAGAAAATCTGGGGAGAAGTGTTTTGAAGTCATGGCTGCAATGACTTCAAAGAACATTCTGATCTCCTCAAATTTGATTTCTTCAATGGCATAAGCCAAGATTCTTTTAAACCTATTTTTTCTTATTCCAAAAAGGTTTTTGAAAGGCAAACATAAGAATGGCACTGGTCAGTCCTTAATAATACTCTCCTTTCAGTGTCTTCTAAATTGCTTTATTTTGTAATGATGATGACTACACAAGACTTGTGGTTTAGATTGCTGAGTATTAAAAAAACCAAACAAACAGAAACTCAAAATGAGGATGCTTTCTAACTTCATACTTCATAGGCATTCTGTTGTAGAAGAGTTATGTTTTATTCCACTTATTTGATCCATTTTATCCTTTTTCCTGTAATAGATGGATTTCTTACAGTTGTTTGTTTAGAATGTGAATTTTACTACAAGACATGTGTCCTCTCAAAACTCTTATTGTTATAAGCAGTTGGCACTTTTCAGTTATGAGATTTAAATATCAACTGATATTATAAAATCCTTTATTATATGGCATCAGTTCTTTATGGAATGAAGGAAGTGTTGTATAGCACACGTTTTTATGAGATGGGAACAATTTTGTTACCTACAATTTGTATTTGAATATTTTTGATATTGTATCATAATGTCCTTTTTCCATGTTTTCGTCAGGTGAAAAGTATTTTGTTACCTACAGCTTGTTTTAGAGTGTCTTAAAGCTTTTGGAGCCCTGTAGTGATTACTACATATGAAATAGGTTGTTTGTGGGTTTTCAGAACAGTTCTGTGTTTCTGTAAAGTTTCAGAGCACTGTGCCTAATTACGTATGTGAACAGAATCCTTCAGTTCTGTATTCCATGTGTCCTGGGATGTGTCCAGAGAAGGGCAATGAAACTGGTGAGGGGTCTGGAGCACAAGTCTTATGGGGAGTGGCTGAGGGAGCTGGGACTGGTTAATCTGGAGGCTCAGAAGAGACCTCATTGCACTCTACAATTTGCAGAATGGAGATTGTGATGAGGAGGAGTTTGGCCTCTTCTTGCAGGCAAGAAACAGGACCCGAGGAAACGGCCGAAAGTTGTACCAGAGGAGGTTTAGGTTAGACATAAGGAAGAACTTTTTCTCTCAGAGAGTGGTCAGGCACTGGAATGGCTGCCCAGGGAGGTGGTGGAGTCGCCGTCCCTGGCGGTGTTCAAGAGGAGTCTGGATGAGGAGCTGTGAGATATGGCTTAGTGCTTGTGGTAGCGGTGGTAATGGGAGGACAGTTGGACTAGATGATCTTTCAGGTCATTTCCAACCTTGTGATTCTATGATTCTATGATGTTCCTATTAAAAATTATTATTTTGTAGTCAGTGAAAACAGGCTTAGTAGGCATTAGGGTGTGGTTAAGGTTTGACTTTCAGGAATATCATTCCAAAATATGTCAATTTAAAAGAGGATAAGATCATGAATAGTGTAAATGTATTCAATATAAAGGAATCATAATAAAAATAAACTTTTTTCAGGAGTTTCTCAATATCATTAAAATAATCTCTTCAGCAGTTTTGCCAGTTCCTCCTTTAGGAGGATTTAGGAGTAGGTCATTTTGGCTTCTCTCCCACATGTGTCATGGGTGACATGAAAAGTACTGCTCCTTCAATATAATTGAAATGTATTCTTCCAATATTGTTCCTTTAGTGTCCTTACTAGGTATATCATGTGTTGTTTTCCTCTGTACTAGTTCTAACATTAAAATGCTTTGGACTAAAGTTTAGTATTTCTAGCAACAGCTTTGCTATTCCCTTATACATATCTCAAATTATTTATAGCTATTGTTTTGTTGTTGCTGTTGAAGTTCATTAAAAACAAAACAGCAACAACAAGAAACTTCTTGAAGAGAAATTCCAAGTTAGCTCTGCCTCTCCTATCTGTTACAGGCTCTCTCTCTCTCTCTTTCTTTTTTTTAATTTTTATTCTTCAAAATACTGCTGAAATTATTTTGGCATTTCATTGTGTTAGAAATATTTCTGATCTTTTGAGAATTTTTGTGTAGATGGTGGTTCCTTTGAAATGGGAAATTATGCTTTGTGCATCATAAATATTTTTAGAAGTGTTTTTGCTAATTTGATTGTGTTTTTAATTTTCTCAGTATTAATTTTCTGTGAAACTCTTACAACTGGATTGTCATTCACAACGCTAAGCCAAAGATACATTTACTTATTTAGCAAGTCTTCAGTTTATATAGAATACTCTTTGAATAAAACAATCATTTGCATTTTCTTAAATGATAGATTTTGCTGCTTTTTCCTTTCCACTGCTTACAAGTTTTATTAAGAAGCCAATTACTTTTAATTCATCAACATTTTCTAATGTTTTATTTTCAAATAGGTGGAGAACGAACCTGTGGTGTACATGAGCTAATCTGCATTAGAAAAGGTAAGCAACATTTTGTAAAAACTACTTTCCTAGCTTATGAATTGCATTTGTGAGTTATCTGCTCCTTAATGTTAATGCCTTATTTTTTTTAATTTTAGTGTTGTGTATTTGTATTGCAAAATCTTTTGATGCTGACACCGTAAATTAAAAAAAAAAAAAAAAAATCATGAAATAAAGTAGAATTTTGAAATTGCAAAATAAAACGTGTTGTCACAAAAAGGAAAGTATTTCCAATACTCACTGAGTTTCATGGGAGTTGTCATCTTTGTTCAGCAGTGGTAGGAAACCACAAAATACATAAACTTTAATCTCTGCCTTTTACTGTCGGAGTTTTGTAGATTGGTTTGATTTCAAGTAATGGTTGGATGTTGTGAGGATATTTCAAATAAGCGATGTAGTGGGCTGCCTGTTTCTTCCTATATTTTCTTGAGATCATAATGACTCATTCTATGAAAACAGCTTTATCAGTTATAAAACCTGTAATTGATAGAGTATGAAATAGGACTGTGCTCAAGAGAAGGCTTTTATGGGTTTAAAGCTATAGAGCTAAAATGACCAAAGTTGCAGTTTGATGGTAAGTTCAGTTCATAGAATGACTAGATACAGTTCTATGTTCTGCCCCACCCTTTGCCAGCCAAACACTCGTTCATGCCTCCTTTGCAGTGCTGTTGCTGTTGAGTTTTGTGTTCTGATCTGAAAGCTAATCTTATTTAAAAAAAATAAAATAAAATAAAATAAAATGTTTCTTCAAGGATTAGTTTGTTGAATTGACTCACCATTAGGTCAGAAGAATGTTTCCGTTGTAATTACTTAAGTAAAAATATTTATAAAAAAACCAAACTCATGTACATACTTTTTTCTACCCTAGAAGTTAAGTCTACCAGTTAAGGTAAAAAACAGCTTTATGGCCACAACTTGTCTTTTCCAAATAATTTATTGAAGGAGTGATATAGAGTTGTATGCCATTTGATTGTATTGCAATTAAAAATGCTTTTCTTTTAAGCTCTAAGTTATTCCATTAAAAAAAAAAAAATTAGAAACAACAAAACATCAAAGCCTTTATTGCCATCTCTGTCTTTCCATTGATGGATAAATCAGTGCCCATAGTGCTCTTTATTCCTTCTATAATAGGTTCTGTTTTTCTTTCTGAATAATGTAACTCATTGAACTAGAAAGTTCAGAAAGCCTGCTGATGGAGTTGCAGAGTCCATCAATCTTGCTCATCGCTATTTGTTTCAGGGTATTGTACTGAGTTAAGAAAAATGTTTTCTGCATACTTGGAGGCAGCAGTTGTTTGTTTTTTGTTATAATTGCTGAGAAGATCAATTGAAGGGATGGCATTTTTTCTTTTTAAGGTTTTAGATATTTTAAACTTTTAATAATAGTTCCCTGGAATGTATTTTAGCATTGGCGATTACTGGTTTACCTAAAGATAAGTGTGATTTAAAGAGAAGCATCCTGATAGTGCCATTTATACTTGTATTATGTTGGGTTCCTTTTTTCTTTAGACCAGTTTCCATGTGTATTCTTGTAGCCTTCTGTGCCCATATGCACAGCTAGCTTGCAGTGCCCATATGCGCAGCTACCTCACTGACAAACTTCTTGTAATGTGGGAACAGGTGCATTTTTTAATCTGTCCTTTCTCTCTGCTTAACAAGTAGCAAGTAAAGCATAATGCACTTGCCATCACACTGCATGCTTTTCAGTTGTGTAGTGTTTAGATTCCTTGCTTTTACTAAATTGGTTACTTTATCTACGACTTCACATCATCTGGTATGCATTCAAGATGTTTTGCTTTGTTCTGTCTGACACATGGCCTGGCCTACGGATGAATTTGTGTGCCAGGTGTCCAGGGTCTGGATCAGGATCTCAGTGCATGCTCCAGATTCATACTAACTACTCAGAACATGAAGGCCTTTCCAAACTGAGCACTTGTTGGAGTCTGGAGCAGGTCATATTGGGACCTTCTAGCTCTGTCCCTAATGCCCGGGATACTCATTTCAAGCTTATGTAGAAAAGAGCTGAAAAGTGCATATTTTGTGGCATAGAAATCTTCCACTTTGCAATATCTTGACCATGCTGTGAAAGCCAAGGCTTCTTTGGTTCATGAGCTCACTGTTAAAGTTTGATGGACAGTTAAGTTTTCAGACATAGGAAAAATCCCTGCAGTCTTGACTTGTTTGTGCAAAGTCATGTCTCCACTCCCTTTTCATTGGTGCCCGTGTGACTGTGGTACCAGGGGTGTACTCTCAAGCATTATTAGCATTTATTTATTCATTTTCCTCCGTACATTTGACAAAAATACTCTGCATTTGCTATTTGCTTGAACTTTCTAGTGCTTTCTGCCTGGTAGTGGTACCGGAATACAGCTACCCAGTGACTGTAGTTACAGTACCCAAGTGGAACCCCTGAAGGAAAGATTAGTGGTAAATAATAACCAGTGTGAGTAACCCAGTACCTTGTGCTTCATTTGCCCTGATTCTCATAGCCCTTCCAAATATTTTGTCAAGAAGCAACTTATTTGTCCTGTACTGAAAAGGGAAAAGCAAGCAAACCTGTCTTCAATGAATAATGCAAAGGAAAATCATTTTCAAGTGATGTAGCGTAATTAGAATTTATGCAAGGATTATAAAACTTGAAATACAGCTGTTAGTGGTGATTAATTTTTCATTCTGATTAGGAAACTAGCCTGTTCCTGAATTGTCTTTTTTTGCCAACTGATTTTTGCTGGGGAAGTAGGAACCTTGGGGTGACTGATGCTTAAATGGGGAAAGGGACCATAAATATTGTCAAGGCTAAGTGTGGCCACACTGTTTAGCTCAAATTATTCAGTTAAAACTTCTTTATATGTATATGAAGACATAACTGTAAAAATAAAGACCCAAAAAGAAACCGCTGCCTTTGAGGATATTCAGTTGTTAAAATTAAAATTATATGAAATTTCACTTTTTATTTTTTAGAGCTTGCCTTCATTACTTTTATTTTCTTAGATACTCCATGCTGCAGTACTGAGGCTGGAAACAATGCAGGAGGGTTGACTTCTCATTTCAAAACATCATAAAAGCTTCTTTGAAGTTAACAATTCTTCCACTGAAATAAAACTAATTTTGGTGGAAGATTTATTTTTAGCTTTTAAGACTTGAAAATTTGCCAGTACTGATTGTAATGCTTACTGAATGTCTGCAATTATCTGAATCCTGGTGTGAATATGATGTCAGTATGGTGCCAGTACAGAACTCAGATTTGCTAACCAATGGTGTTGTAATTGTCGTCTTTAGGACTTGCTCCCACTTCACATAATGTTGTTGTGGTTTCGTAGATGCACAAGATGGACTCTGTGGCAGGTCTGTTTCTAATCTGCACAAGAGGGTTTGCGGTACTTTTGCAGTGTCTTGCTTGTATGGTTCCCTTTTGCAGATTCATACATATTTGAGAAGCATGTCTAAAATATTGATGGTGGTAGGAAGACTTTTCTGGAAAACCTCAAAAACTAATTTGCATGTATTTTAAAATGAATGCTCATTTGAAGTATGTAACTATACTACACGTGTCTTGAAAATGTGCATATTTGGAAGCAATTATGTGACATCCAGTGGCTGCAGAATATAGAACCAGGTACTTCCCAGCTACAGGAAGTGTAATCAGTTTTTCAGAAATCTGGCATTGCAGCACTGAAATTTGTGACTTCTGTGTGCAATGTAGCTTAGTGGTTGCAATGTTTGTATGTCTTCAAATGGACACACTGTTGAATTCTGGAAGCTGAAAAATTGGAAAATGTATTTTTCATTGTATTAGAGAAGTAAACAAGACATTCATCTGTTTTTCATTTAATGCCAGTACATATACTTATTTTCAAGTTCTTATCTGTTTGACAGTGTGAGTTCACAGTGTGTCTAAGGAAAGAGGAGCCCTTCTTATCTCAGCAGTGGACTAATTTGCTTTGTTCAGCCTCTTACAATTCCTGAAGTAGCAGAAGAGAGGAACAAAGTTTTCTGAAATACATACATCTGCTGTTTATTCTAATATGGTGGAAGGTTTGCTTTTTTTTGGCTGGTAACACCCAAATATTTTTAAGAGAGTCATAAGAATTGTGTAAGCTGTTCCTTTGGTTATTTACCATGGACATGAAAGAGTCTGGGGAACTTGAGAACAGCCCAGAAAAATATATCTTTTTTTTTGTCTGTCCAGTGCTCTGTAGCTAGGCTGCTAGTTCAGCTTGGAACTGGCTGTTGTTAGATGTACTAGTGTTTTAATTGAGGCTGTTTTTCAAGTTCTGTTTGCACAGGTGAGAGACCGGTGATGAGTTTTTACAATATTGACCTGTAACTGAAGGGCTCTTCAATGTATTCTGATATGTACAATGTTCACTATATGATATAGAAGTTATATTAAAGCAAAAAATTAACGACCACAGTATCATTAGGTCTCTTTCACCTTTCCCTGTTCATTTATGTAGTTTTGAAGAAATGTAAAGTGATGCTTCTAACTCAGTAATGTATTTTGTTTAATTGATGGAAATGTGCATGAGTATGTGACTGAGGTCTGAGTTGCACAGATTTTTTTATAATTATTTTAGTAAGACCTTTTTACTTTTGCAAGATGTTCTTTCTATTGTTGTAGCAGTCTTACAAACAAAGGAAATTATTCAGCAAACTGTCTTTGTGACTAATAATGGAACAGAAGTGCTCTTTAATATGCAAAAGAAAGAAGTTACAAGGAGACTCTGTCTTTGGCTGACAATGTAAGATGTCACTTTTAATAATAATTTTGAAAAGATAAGAAGGTATGAATTTTTGTTTTGCCAGAAAAATATTCTAAGTAGAATGATGTACTCTTCAACTTTCTGCCCAACTATCCTCATCTGTTCACATGTATCTGAATGTTAAGTTGCCAATTGCATTTCACTGAAGTGGTAAAAATTAATGAGATTCCCTTTGTAACTAGAAACATACAACTACAGAAGTTAGAAATGGAAAGCACAAAGTTGACTATTTTATTTT